AATTATCTGTATATGTATGGGGGGTTGTGCACCTATTTGCGGGTGCCCACAGAAGCCAGAGGCATCTCATCCCCTGTAACTGGAGTTACACATGGCTGTGAGCCACCTGACAGGGACGCTGGGAACCAAACTCTGGTCCTCTGGAAGAGTCGCCTGGGCTCTGAACTGCTGAGTCGTCTCTCTGACGCGTCTCTGTGGTTTTATAAATGCTGAATTACTCTAGAAGCTAGGCCTGCATCCCATGCTAACTCATAGGGCACATGAGAGAAGGGTTTTCAACCACAGAGGGATGGAAGTTGCCAACTACAGACACACGGAAAGTATGGCAGGTGTAAGAAACAAAGAAAACCTGAGGACAGGAGGCGAGAAATGTCACTTCCCCGTTTTCCCAAAGTCCTCAATATTCCCTTGATGCATGCAATGTTGGCCCTTCCTAAGCCATGGCCTTTCTTTGCCCAGTAGCTTGCGAGGTCACAGTGGAGCACAGACCAGGGAAGACAATCAAGTCTCGGGCTGTTCTACTCTTCGGGGCTTCAAAGAGTTAAAAGTCCCGTCGGCTAGAATGTATGCTCGTCTATCAAGCTCATTGTCATGGCCAGGCTTCAGGACAAGGTGAGAGTCCAGCCTGAGTGGCGGGCACGCCTTCATCCCACAGAGAGGAAGAGACACATGGTGTGCCCGGCACAGGTCTAGATGCTTGGATAATATGGAAAGGAAGAAAAGCAAAGATGCCTGAACTCATGAGCATGAGAGACAGAAAGACAGACTACAAAAGATGGAGAAGTAAATTACACAAGATGCTCAGCATAAACGAGTGTGATATTCACTGAGGAGAGGCTCAGCGGTGAAGCCCTTGCCACACAAGTGTGAGCACCAGAATTCAAATCCCTGGAACTTACATATGCTGCTTCCCTGCAATGTCAGGCTGGGAAAGAGAGTCAGTGCGGGCTGGCTCGGGAGACTAGCCATCTGAGCCAGCTCTGGGTTTGACTGAGTGACCCCGTCTCGTTGACTAAAGTGGAAGAGTAGGAGGATATTCTTCACATCAGTCTCAGGCCTCCACATGCATGTTCTCACATGTACATGAGCACCCACACATGTGCCCACACACATAAAAAAAAAAAAAACCTCATGCATACACGCACAACACACACACAAAAAAAAAAAAAAAACCAGAAAAAGAAAAACAAATCATCAGAATTGTCCTTAAACCAGCAGAGGTTTGAAAGTCTGATTTGCATCGAGCTCACAGCTGCCTCAATTGACTGCAGGGAGAGAGAAAGCCTCCCACACTCTCTTTGGGACAGATGTGGTAAGTTTGATTGTGAAATTCAGTTAGGTGCCTTCTGCAGGGCCTGCCTCCTCCTCCTCCTCCACTCCTGGAAACCAGTAACTCAGAGCTGACTGCCTAGTTTTGCCTCCCCAGCAACTGGACCAGGAGAGCCTGTGGGCCAGGAGCAGAGGTTGGCTCTGCATGTTGATGCAACACACTGTAGCCTACCATGGGCTGCCGCTGACCTCTCAAATCACACCCCTGCATCTGTGCATGAAAGCAGCATGAAGGCTCAGTGCTGTGGCCTCGACCAAGACCCAGACATGCCAGTGTTACCAGTGGCTCCCCTGTTCCCAGCAGCGCTGTGCTGGCTAGTTTTATGTCAACTTGACACAAGCTACACTCATCTGTAAGGCGGGAGTCTCCATTGATAAAATGCCTCCATAAGGCTGGGCTGGAGATAAACCATAATTTTCTTAATTAGTGACTGATGTGGGAGGGCCCAGCTCATTGTGGGTGGTGCCATCCCTGGGCTGGTAGTCCCGGGTGCTATAAGAAAACCAGCTGAGCATGCCGGTAAGTGGCACCCCTCCATGGCCTCTGCATCAGCCCCTGCCTCCAGGGTCCTGCCCTGTTCGACGTCCTGTCCTGACTTCCTTCAGTGATGGACTTTGATGTGGAAGTGTAAGCCAAATAAGCCTCTCCTCTCCAAGCTGCTTTTGCTTCATCACGGCTCTAGGAACCCTAACGAGCCCAGAAATCGGTACCCGCAGTGAGGTATCACTGTGGCAGACCTGACCACGGGGTTCTGTGGAGGACTGTAGAAGGACTTTGGAACTTTGGGCTGGAAAAGCCGCCGAGTGTTCAAAGCTTGGTGAGCTGTTCTGTTGGAGCTTGGAAGAGTGCTGAGAAATGCATAAGATGGAGGCCTGACTTGTCACGATCCAAAGAAAAGTTTGAGACAAGCATCTTTTTTCCTTGGGCAGAGGGGGGAATCAACTCAGCATTCATTATATCACTGGGTTATGTTCCAGACTTGGGGACACAAGCCTTCCAGAGCCCAGTAATGGGGACATGGGGGTGAAGAGAAGGGCTGCTGAGTCTAGATTTCTGTAGTCTACAACAGAGCAGTGCCACCCAATACTACATCTGCCACATACAACATTAAGGTCCCAGAGGGACTCTCCAGGGCCATGGCATGGGGTCCCTTCTTGCCATGCACCCCCATTCTCAGGTCAGGCCATACCTACCCTTACCTTCAAACACAGCCCAGTAGACCCCCTGGCAAACAGGACACCCCCCCGCCCCGCTCTTGTCTCCGGGCTGGTCTTCTCATACGCTGTTCCTGCTTCTAGAATCCCTGGTTCCCTTTCCCCAACCACCATTGCAGGTCTCAGGCTACAACTCACTTCCCAGTAGACCTTGGTGACTCCCCTGCCCTTAGGCTTCCCACTTCTGGTGTCTACATGCATCACACTTGCAGAGCTTTTAACGAAGCTTATCTGGTTTGTCCATGAGGTGCGTGTCTCCAGGGCTTTTCACAATGCCTGGCACTGAGCAGGCACTCTGCAAAGACTGGGCACTCCACAAGAACAGACACACACACAGGACAGGTGTGCTGGGGGCTGGCTGGCTGGCTCCAGATCATGGTTTAAGCCCAGCTCTACCCAGGGCCTTGGCTTCCTGTCTGGGCCACAAGGATAGATTTGTTCTCTTGTGGGTCCCCCTCTTGCCTGACCTTCAAAGAACAAGGCAGATGAAGGACATCCGCTTGGCCACCTACTCTGAGCTAGATGTTCATGGTACGTACGATCGATGCTGGTCACACCAGATGCACAAGGCCAGCAAACAGCAGTGTGTTCTCGGAGGCCTGTTCAACGCTGGGGACAGAGGAGAACGGTGTGTGCTCCTTCCCAGGGGATCTCAACCCTGAAGCCTACCTTTCCAATGCTGGTGCCACTTCCCACTCCCTCACTAAGTCCCTTCTCCAACAAGGATGCTCTGGGGAGAGAACGGCAGAAAGCCGCAGAAGCCACAGTCATTCCCAGTAGAGCGAGGCCAGCCTGGGAGACCGAAGCCAGGGGAACCAACCCATCTCAGATTCACTTCTTGTCCATTCCAAGGAGGAAGGCCAGAGGCTGCTCCATCCTGGGAAGAGACCCTTGAAAGACAGCAGTAAGGTGCCTTTTCCAGGCTGTTGTCGGCAAACAGTTCATGGCTGCTGGCCCTGGAGATTCCAGCTTTTAGAGACAGAACCTCCAAACCTGGCAGCCTACAAGGTACATCTGTCTGGAGAGATGTTCTGTTTGGAGGGCAAGTGTGGTGGTTTCAGTGAGATTGGCCTCCATAGACTCATCTATTCGAATGTCTAGTTCCCAGCTGGTAAACTGTGTGGGAAGGATTAGGAGGTGTGGCCTTGTTGGAGGAGGTATGTTACTTGGGGGGTTCAAAAGCCCACGCCAGGACCAGTCTCATTGCGGATCAGGTTGTAAACTCTCAGCTACTGATCCAGCTCCATGCCTGCCTGCCTGCCATCTTGCTTCTCACCGTGATGATTATATACTGACCCTCTGAAACTGCAAGCAATGCCCCCCCCAATTAAATGCTTTTCTTGTGTAAGTTGCCTTGGTCATGGTGTCTCTTCAGAGAAACAGAACAGTGACTAAGACAGTGAGGTTATAAACTAAAATTAGTTCCAATGTTAACAAATTAGGTAGTTTCACTTTAGAATTACAGGCACAGGCCTGTAATCATAGCTACTCAGATACAGTAGCCTCTTGGGAGTGAGTTCAAGGCCAACCTGGACAACTTAGTGAGACCCTGTCAAAAGAGACAAAAGACAGTACAACGAGGCTGGGCACATGTCTCAGTGGTAAATGCTTGCCCAACATGGACCACACCCTAGATTAAATCCCTAATACCAGAAGGAAAAAAGAATCCAAATGTCCAATCTTGGGAGAAGACTCTTTGGGAAGAAGGGTCCCCCAGGTCCCAGGGACAGAAGAATAAGGGTAGTGAAGCTGAGGCCTGGCGTACTCCCAGCAGAGGGCTGAAGACTGAAGCAGTCTGTAAGCATGGCCTTAGGGCCCTTGGGGAGCACTGAATCCAGGTGCTGGAAGCAGGACAGGACATCCTCTGCTGGCCCCCATTCCCCTCACTTCAACAGCCTGACGGCCTTTGGTAGCCCTTAGAAAGAGGGAGAGGCCATTTCAGAACCCCACCTGGTCCACCTGTCTGGCATCCATCCTTCGGTGGCTGCTTGAGGACTAAAGGCCTACCTCTGGAAGAAGTCAGAAACTTCCTACATAGAATGCCTGTCAGCTCCTGGGGGTTCACCAAGAATCACCTGATGAACAGGGTGCTTTCACAGCCACACATCTGCTAATCATGCCTGACAACACCAGGGTCACCTTGGGGAGACACTCTCGTGACTTATTTATGAAGAAAACAGTCAACGAAATGACACACTACCAATGACAAGTGTTTACATCTACTTGGAATACCGGCCTGCTTGAACGGCTCTCTTCAGAGATGGCTAACGTGCTCTTTTAAAAACAAAAAACTGCTAGTATTTGGTCAGCACTAGGTACCAACTGAGGAGCTGAAGTCTCCCCTCAGATCTAGTGTGAATCGGGACAGTCTGGGCAGTTCCCAGATCCAGGCAACAGGCAGCCGTGACGGCGTAACGGGAGGAAAATCATCACAAAAGCAGAAGGCAGAGAAGTACCTGCTTCTTGTCCTCCACCTTCTTGAAATCTTCGCATGCTAGCCAAAACAAGACGTTTTCTTCACTGAATTCCTTTTTCAGAAATTCCTACATATAAAAAAGGGGGAGAGGAGTCATTTAGCGTTCAGCGCTGAGGAAACACGAGCTCCCTTTCAAAGATGGCATGGCAAAAGCGGACAGAGGAACCCGGTTTAATCATCCCTTGAAAAAACTCCACCCAGAAAAACAAAGAACGTGTTTAATGTTGAAGCGAGAATTTCTTACGCATTTCACCTTAATGGTTTTGACATTGCAGGGCAGAATAAAAATGAAGCGGAGAATCTAGTCGCATTTCTAAGCTGACAATAAATTACCAAAAGTAAATTAAAGTGGAAGATCTATCAGCCCCTTCCAGACACTGTTTAGACAAAGTGCATTCCTCCAAAGCCAGGCCCTTTTTTTAAACAAAAGGAAAGAAAATATTAAGCCTGTCCAAATCACAGTGACGGAGACCATTTTAAGTTGGAGGTGTGCTTTCCTAGGACTGCTGGTAAAGTGTTAGCACACGGTCAGCTCTGCAGCTGCATTCTAACCTCCCTGGTATCTAGACAATGCTTACAGTTCTACTCTCCACCCCAGGAGCCCCATGAGGACCAGCAACACCTCGGCCCATCACCTAAAAAGCCAAATTGCCAAAGATCGGTGTGACCCTCCAATGAGCAGCAGCAGTCATACTGGCAGGAAAAGTTATTTCTTGATAGTGTTAGCCCTTCCTGTCCATCATCAGCCCTTCCTGTCCATCATCAGCCCTTCCTGTCCATCATCAGCCCTTCCCTATCCATCAGCCCTTCCTGTCCATCATCAGCCCTTCCTGTCCATCATCAGCCCTTCCTGTCCATCATCAGCCCTTCTCTGTCCATCATCAGCCCTTCCTGTCCATCATCAGCCCTTCCTGTCCATCATCAGCCCTTCCTGTCCATCATCAGCCCTTCTCTGTCCATCATCAGCCCTTCCTGTCCATCATCAGCCCTTCCTGTCCATCATCAGCCCTTCTCTGTCCATCATCAGCCCTTCTCTGTCTATCATCAGCCCTTCCTGTCCATCATCAGCCCTTCCTGTCCATCATCAGCCCTTCCTGTCCATCATCAGCCCTTCTCTGTCCATCATCAGCCCTTCTCTGTCTATCATCAGCCCTTCCTGTCCATCATCAGCCCTTCCTGTCCATCATCAGCCCTTCTCTGTCCATCATCAGCCCTTCCCTGTCCATCATCAGCCCTTCCCTATCCATCAGCCCTTCCTGTCCATCATCAGCCCTTCCTGTCCATCATCAGCCCTTCCTGTCCATCATCAGCCCTTCCCTGTCCATCATCAGCCTTTCCTGTCCATCATCAGCTATAGTGGGTAGCCATTCCAGCTTTGGTCTGGAAGTTCCAACCCCCATTGAGGCTTCGGTAACTATCACGCCTACAAGGCGGGGCTAAGAGAGGGTCCTGAAGACCCGACACCCAGATGCGCTGCCCTCTCTTAGTTCCTGGAACTTGGACGCTAGAGGTAGACCGAGCAGAGTTCTCCAGAGAACACCGCCAGACTGCGCTATATCTTCCCCAGACCCTGCGACCTACCTATCCCTTCATTTGTAAGTTACGCCACTTATAAACCTCCCTTTTAACTATGTGGAGTGGCCTTAATAATTTCACCAATAATCAGCCCTTCCTGTCCATCATCAGCCCTTCCCTGTCCATCATCAGCTCTTCCCTGTCCATCATCAGCCCTTCCTGTCCATCATCAGCCCTTCCCTGTCCACCAGCCCTCCTTTGGGAGATTCCCTCCCCAGCTTCACTTTGTTAGTTACCATCCAGCCTCTCTCAACAGTAGTGATGCATCCAGAGAGGGTCTGAGACTGGAGAGAACAAACTTTGATGCCAGAGAGACCCAGATTATCCCTGCCAGTCCTGGAAATCCTTCCTCTAGATCCCACACTCGCACCCTCCCCCATCAGCCCCATCTCCTTCCCCACTAACTATATGAAAACCAGAGACAGGCTGCATGTCCCTCTGGAAGTCCGAAGTGGTCAGGGGAGGTGAACAGTTCTAAGTCTCTAGCTGGAGCAGACAGTGTTAAACATTGTCCTTGTCCCTCTGCCCCCACCCTCCATCATACACATAGCTAAGCTTTCCCTGTGACATCAGTTCCAATGAACAATGAAAAGGCAAACCCTAAATCTTGTCACGCCTTCCGGATCCTCCAGAAGATTCTCCAAGGAGGTCGCCCACCTGGCGGTGCTCATGAGGCCTTGTTGGCTGCTGCTTGAGCTCGCGTCGTCGTGGATATCTACAAAACACAGTTCAGACAGTGTCACCACCCAAAGGCTCTGTCCTGTGCAGACGGTGCATAGGAGGATATTACTGTAAATCTATACTGCAACGTCATCACCACCATCATCCCCAAACCAACATGTACCAGGGCCTGTCACAGTAGACTCAGTCTACTGAGGTGGGAGTCACTATTCCCTCTGTTGTTCAGACCAAAAAAACCAAAAAACCCAACAACTAAGGTTAAGGCAAAAAAAAAAAAAAAAAAAAAAAAAAAGAGGCTCAGAGCAAGGGACTTGCCATTTCTATTACATCCTATTATGTCCCAGTTTGTCCATTGGCCCCAAGTCTCTCTGCAACCCACCTCCCATGGACCCCTGACTCAGCATCGACTCTTTCCTCTCTGCTTTTGCACAGTTTCGGTGATCCACGGGTCTGAAAGCTCCAGGACAGCAGCATCTTCTGCATCTTCTTATGTGAGGCAGGGCCAGGATGAGGACAATGACACCAGGAGTTGTCAAGATACACAGGCATCAAGATAAACATCTTCGTGTAGCCCTTTTTCTCTAATTCAAAATGAATGCTCAAAGAATCCATAATGGGCCAGGCGGTGGTGGCGCACACCTTTAATCCCAGCACTCGGGAGGCAGAGCCAGGGGGATCTCTGTGAGTTCGAGGCCAGCCTGGTCTACAGAGTGAGATCCAGGACAGGCACCAAAACTACACAGAGAAACCTTGTCTCAAAAAAAAAGAATCCATAATGGGACTAGGGATGTGTGTGAGGGGTAGAATGCTTGCCTGGCATGTGCAGAGTCCTGTGTTCTATCCCGAGTCCCAGAACAAAGATAATCCACGGCAAGCAAATGCCAACATTTTAAATAAAGCACCACTAGTCTCCATGTTCCCTTTCATCTGGACCTCCAGTGTGGTTTCACATCACACTTAGTCAGTTTGTATTTAAAGCTCTGTTGTCCGGTTCATCATGGAGGTCTCTGCATCAGCTTAGTTTAGTTTTTTGTTTGTTTGTTTGTTTGTTTTTGATATGTCATATGTAGTGGGTAGCCATTCCAGCTTTGATCTGGAAGTTCCAACCCCCATTGAGACTTCGGCAACTGTCACGCCTACAAGGCAGGGCCAAGGGAGGCGCCTGGAGACCAGAGATCTGGATGGGTCAGGCTCTCTCTGTTCCGGGACCCTGGACGGTGGAGGTGGGCCAAGCAGAGCTCCAGAGAACACCGCTGGACTGCGATACACCTTCCCCAGACCTCGCGACCCACCTAAACCTTAATTTGTAAGTTACACCATTAAATAAATCTCCTTTTAACTACGTGGAGTGGCCTTAATCATTTCACCAATATCTCTAAAACTATAACCAGGGATGTGGCTCAGATGGGAGAGTGCTTGCCTAGCATACACGGAGCCCTGGGTTCCTTCCTTTCCTACACAAAAGCAGCAATGGTAGCACCTGCCTGGGATCCCAGCACTTGGGAGGTAGAGAGATCAGGAGTTCAGTCATCCTTGGCTACACAGTGAGTTCAAAGCTAGCTAGAGAACCATGAGACACTGTCTATGAATGAATGAATGAATGAATGAATTATCGATGACCCTGAGGCAGCCCCCTAACCTGTTAGTGCACAGAGTGAATGGGTGACTGCATGGGACATCTTACGTTAACAGGCTTGACATTTAGCACCCTCTTTACCAAAGAAAAAGTGACAGAGGGTCTCAGACGATCACGCCGGGGCACTTGGCTGAAGGAAGAAGCAATGCATAAGACATGTCTACAGACCTGACCCAGTCCTAGAGTCATGGGAAACTACTGGCATGTCGCTTCGGTTGACTCCAAGTTCAAACCCCAGCTTGACTGGTTTGAGCTACAAGGCCGTAGTAAAATTTGTGCGTGCATTTGAAGAGGGTCCTCTGAGCTCGAGGTTATTTAAGGATTTAAGATGGAAGTACAAACTGTGCATTTTCTCCACAGCAGGTAGAAAGAGTCTCACAAAGAAATGAGAAAAATCTGAAGTGGTAGATATGGCAATTACCCTGACCTGATCCTGATACAACATGTGTTTAAATGCTCCACCATAGCTAACAAATATATAGAATTACTATGTCTCCATCAGGGGACAAAAAATAGGAAGTCTATCTGAGAGCTGTCAGACCCTTTCTCCCCTTTCTGGAAAGAACGACCTACTGAGGGAGCCGTGTTACAACTAGCACAACAGTAGAAATAAGATTACAAAAAGAAAAAAGAAAAAAAGCTCGAATCTAGAAGAAAATAAACTTTCTATTAAGAAACCAACAAAGTAAATCACTTTTAAAGCATGATTGAAAAAAAATTATAACTTATTAATCACTGAAAATAGCTGTTTAAGAAAATTCCTATCAGAATATGCTAGGCTTGGGCCCGGGGAGTGGCTTGGTTGGTAATGTGGCTCCTGTCCAAGCATGAGGACCGGGGTTTGATTCCCAGCACCCGCATGTGAGCCTGGCTGAACTGGTAAGGCCCCGGCCACTGAGAGACTCTGTCTCAAAAACAAAGTGGACAGCAACTAAGGAACAATCAAAAGTTGTCCACTGGCTTCAACACGTGTGCACACACACTTACATGCTTATCTGTACACACACCCAGAGAGAGAGAGAGAGAGAGAGAGAGAGAGAGAGAGAGAGAGAGAGAGAGAGAGAGAATACTTCATAGCTGACAGTTGGCATTCTTTTAGGATGTAAAACAATACATCCTAATCTTGATTTTTTTGTTTGGCTTTTTTGAGAGAGGGTCTCATTATGTAGCCTATGCTAGCCTAGAACTCAGCCTTCTGCCTTGGCCTTTCCAGGGCTGGAGTTGCCTGTCTGTACCACCACATGCAGATCCACACCTTGACCTCTTAATTTTCTGGGGCTCCATCTCCTGCACCTCCATAAAGTAGCATCAGAAACCTCGGGACAGTGTTCATGCTCACCATCATGACAGATACTCCTAATAATGTGAGAAATTATTTACGGCAGCCCCATTCCTCTGTCAGAGCAAACTCCCTAGATCACTTTACCAGACGACCCTGTTGACTTCCCGAAGTGACTCTCTCCAACTCATGGGTAAGAAATGAGTTCCTGGCTCCTATCTATCATGGAATGTCAATCCCTGGACACGGTTTCTCCCCACATATCATCATTTACAATCATCATTTTAAATCATCATTACAACAGATTTCCCGAAGCAGGGCTCACTCCGCCAAGCATCCCTCTAACTTACCTTCTGTCCTCTGCCTTGAGAACACAGTTTGACCATTTACTCCCCTGCCCCAGCAGACCCTCTGAAGTAAATAAACAGCAGGACACAGGTGCATTGTTTGAGGGACTACCTCAGGCTCTCTTCCACGTTTTCAGCCATGGTCTGAAAGGATGCCAAAATTCTTGGCACTCTTAAATAATCAACCCCACCATGCTAGGGGGTTCACCGCCCTGCTCTCTGGCCAATAAATGTGCTTGGTGTGTTGCACTCAGGCAGTTGAAAGCTGGGTCTACCGCTGAGGAAATACAAACCACCCCTTTACTGCTGATGTTAATCAAATTTGTGGATGAGCTTCTTGCGGCAGCTTTCAGTTGAACAAAAAGTGAGGTGGCCCCTGTGGTCCCTGAGGTCAATCCCTAGCACCCCCACACAAAGCCAGCACCCACATACACCCATACATAGCAGTACCTACGTAAGCCCAGTGCTAGGGAGGCAGAGACAGGAGGATTGCTGGGGCTCACTGACAAGGCAGTCAAGTTGAATCACAGAATTCCAGGTTCAGTGAGAAATCATGTCCCAAAATAACACGGTGGAAGTGATTGAGGAATACATGTGACGTCAATCTCTGGCTTCCACATACATGCTGTGCTCATGCATATGCACATGCACACATACACAGAATGTATGTGCACAAGCACACACATACACACAGTGTTGTACAACTCCAGATTCACTATTTAGACTGCCTCCTTAGACTAGAAACAAAAGTCCAAGAAAATGACTTGTCCTGGATGACATGTCTAAAGAATCACCACATGGAACCAGTAGGGCCTCTCTGTCCCCATCAGGATTGCCTCCATAGGACTCTGGAGTCCTTGGAACACAGAAAATAGTAGTCTCTCATATCCCTTACACCAGGAAATAACAATAATACTGTGTGTTTTTCCAGGAAAAGCTTAGAAAGGTATTCTTAAAAGTCCTGGTTACTGGTGTTTCAACTTCAGAACTCGTGAGTGTGTGTGTGTGTGTGTGTGTGTGTGTGTGTGTGTGTGTGTGTGTGTTTAAGTGTATATATGGGAGGGGTATGCACATGTGAGTGCAGTGCCCAAGGAAGCCAGAAGAGGGCACCAGACCTGGTGTTCCAGGTAGTTGTGAGCTGCTGGGTCAGCATGCTGGGAACCAGAGTGCTCAAGTCTTTTCAGAGTGGTATGCACTCTTAGCTGCTGGGCCTCCTTCGGACTTCAGTTCTCTTAACTGAAAGAAAGCCTTCCCTTTTGTCCATCTCTGCAACTGTAACTTTCCCACAGGATTCTTCTCCCAGCTCCTGTCATGTGTTTTCACTTTCCTTAGACACTGGTTTGGATCTTTTCCAAGACTTCAGATTGACTTTAAGGGTTTTTGTTGTTTGTTTTTCAGTACTGGGGATTGACTCCAGGACCTCGCACATGCTAGGCAAGTGCTCTACCACTGAACTATGTTCCCACCCACCACGTCTCCCTCCCCCCCTCCTCCCCTTCCTCCCCCTTCTTCTGCTCTTTCCCTCCCCTCTCCTCTTCTTCATTCTGAGAAAAGGTTGCCCAGGTTGGCCTTGAACTCACTCTGTAGCCCAGACAGGTATTGATCTTGGAAATCCTCCTGCCTCAGTCTCCTGAGGAGCTGGGATTACAGGTCCATGCCATCAGATCCAGCCTGACTTTCAAGTCTGATTAAGATTTTTGTTGTGGATGGGCAGTGGTGGTGCACGCTTTTAATCCCAGCATTTGGGAGGCAGAGGCAGGCAGATCTCTGAG